AGCAGTTCGTCGTGGAGCAATTCGTCGTGGAGCAGTTCGTCGTGCGACAACTTCGGATATACTCCGGGGCTTCTTAACCGCCCCTAGGCTTGAAAGTGTCCCGGCCCAGTTGGTTTAGAGTGCCCGCCCGGCTAGCCCCAAGTCTCAGGAAGGAACTTACTGTGGGACATCAGTCATGAGCTAGGGTAAGTGGTATAGGCGTCCTATTGCAGCAGGATTAATACCGACATGTTCTAGATTGTGCTTGGAACCTGGTTTGCCAGTTAGCCGCTATTAGAGGCCATAGGGATTTCTATACTAGCGTCCTACACCACGCAAATTTTGATGATAGTTCCAGTATACTACAGAGTAGTAATTGAATCCGAATTTAAGTTTCAGTTTATCCGCTATGTATATCAGGTTACTTCTGAATACAGGCTCGAAATTCTGCAGCATAGATAGTCCCAGCTTTATATAGCACATTAACATACAAGGCCCCGCTTTGCGTTCTCTGGTCTGGGACATCGAAAGTCTGTTTCCAACTCACATACAGAACAGACGCACGCAAATCGTCGACCGCATTCATGCCAATTCGCTCGCTTGACCTTCCTTGCAGAACATCACTGAAGCAGCCGGAAGGACAATTCTGACGCCGTGCGTCCTTCTGAGGACGACAGCCTTGTTTGATGTTACCAGCGCACATCAATCTTGTCACGCAGTGAATCTTCCTAGCTCTGTACCTTCATTGCGAGCTTGCGCAGCCCTAGGCACCTATGACGACCGCTACGAAGATAATAAACTTGAATGTCGGCGGACGGATATTTACCACTCTAATCTCCACCCTAACCAGCCAATCTACCTTTTTTACCGCATTGCTTTTAGATCGGTGGGAGAGTGAGGACTGTCTAGTGGACGGCAACCTTTTCGTGGATGCCAATCCGGATCTGTTTCAACACATCCTTGACTATCTACGGCGCTCGATTCCCCCAGTATTCTGGACTCGTGTCAATGGTTTTGATTTTGCATTATATGCGGCTCTGCTGCAAGAGGCTCGATATTTTGGCATTGCAGCCCTCGAAAAATGGATTGCGGAACAGCACTATCTTAGAGCCATTACCATTCACCAATCGATCCAAGTGGTAGATTTGAAAGACTGCTTAGATGGTCTCCCACAATTTTCTGACAATATTAAAAAGCGCTTTGATGACGTCGAGTATCAGACGAAAGGCGGAGTGAAAAGGAAGCGGCTGCTTGTCCAGACCACGTCATTTTCTCCTGTACGTTCCCATATGACACGTTCGAACGATTGAAAATGACCATGAGCAGCCTGAAATCTTGTGATGAGGCTCAGTTGAACGCTGGATGTGGCCTACAATACGCTGGAGCGTGGTCCTGCCCGAGTTTACCAGGCAAGCAGTCAGTTTTTTCGCCGGTATACCGTAGGGATCTCCACTGTCACCGATCCTCTACCTCTTTACAATGCCGATCTTCTGGAGATTTGCGCCAACGAAAAGGTGGACACGATAGGCTATATCGACGATGTGCCCCTCCTGGCTACCGGGGCCACTCCACTCCACAACACTCAAGCACTCAAAGTGGCGCATCGGGAAGCACAAATGTGGGCTCGAAAACATGGATCAGTATTCGCTACGTCTAAGTACACTCTCATTCATTTCGCCAGAAACTCATATATCAACACAAGACACCTATTGCGTCTCCCGGATATTCCAATCACGCCGGTATCCTCGTGCAGATACCTAGGCCTTCAAATCGATAACAGACTGACATGGAAGGATTATATGCAACGGATTTAGTAGAAGGCGTCCCAACGGCTGATCGCACTCTCCTCCCTGGCATCGTCCACCTAAGGAGCCGATCTGATGACTGTCCGACAAGTGTATCAAGCGATGCTCTTGCCTTAGCTCCTGTACGGATGATCAGCCTAGTATAAGGCCCGGGAGTACCGACAGTCAGGACGTCCTCACAAGGGACAGTCTCGAATAGCATGCCTACTCACCTCAGTCTAGAAACGAGCGGCTCAAATTACGGGGGTATTCCGGACGACGGCCGCAAACGCAGTGGAGGTCGAGGCCCATCTGTTGCCTTTGGACCAACAGATAGAAAAGCTGAGCCTACATACCACCTTGAGACTATTGTCCTGTCCCTCCCGTCCGATCCTCATTAATGTTGGCAAAGAGCGGAGATATTCAAAGGAGAATCTAATATCACGCTACGTCAGGATCTTGCAGAAGCAGTATTAAATTCGCCATATCGACTTAGAGCAACGTTAACCCTATATCGTCACGCCCTAGTGGAAGCCACCAGTTGTGATCATAGGGAGCACGCCAGAGGAGGCGATACTGCAACACAGTAGCCTCTGCGTAAACACAAACACCACGTGCGTATACACGGACGGTAGCGGTATCAATGGACACGTTGGCGCTGCCGCAGTGATCCTATCAAACCCAATCTCAATCTCAAGTCCGGTGCTCCACACAAGGATGCAGTACATGGGTACTAACGTCCAAAGTACCGTATATGCCGCCGAACTGAAAGGCATTCTCCTGGCCTTAGAGATCCTAACGGCCAACTGCAGCCTAGAGCACCACCACTTCACCATTTTCACCGGCAATCAAAGCGCCCTTAAAACCCTGCAAAATCCGGGAAACACCTCAGGGCAATCCATCCTGGTAGAACTTTTGTAGGCCCTAGACGGAGCTACCACCGCCGGACTAACCGTACACTTTCGGTGGATTCCAGCCCACCAAGGTGTCCCAGGCAACGAGATCGTCGACATAGCCGCAAAAGAGGCGGCCAAACCACGACCAGGAGCCACATCGAAACCCTGACATTGACACCAACAACACCCGTCAAAACTCTCCTCACCACAGCTAAAAGAACCATTAACACGACCCTCCATCAAGATGGGGGATTTGCCTGGAAGCATGCCAAATATGGTCACGTCCTGCACGACTTAGGTAGGAAACCAGACGAGAAAGCCCTTCAGTTGCACCGAAAACTGCCCCGACTAATCAGCTCCATCATTACCCAGATGAGGACCGGCAAAATTGGATTAAACGCCTATCTCTATGATATCGACAAGGCGGACACCAGCCAGTGCACCTGCAATCAAGGACCGCAAACAGTGGAGCACGTGCTGCTGAGATGCCGAAATTGGAGGAAGGAGCGACATGAAATGTGGGCAGGCAACAGACCAGTGCTGAATGTAAAGGGCGTTCTCGGCGACCACAAGCTGGTGGTTCGAGCAGCCCATATGATGCTGCGAACGGGTCTACTGCAACAGTTTCAGGCGGTGCCCCCCACAGCATCGACCGTCCCTGGAGAAGAAGCCGTTTGAGACATCAGGGGAGGACTTCGCAATGTCGAGAATGACCGCGGAGAGTGACCGTGGAGTACGGCGTTGAGTACATTTTCGATCACTGTAGACAAGACAGATGTTGGTTTCTGTCAAGTAGCCACACACGGAGCAATCTCTCTCCAACCCAACCCCTTGCCCCGACACACCTTCTACAGAGTCACCACCTCTGTAGGAAGTGTTTTACCGGGTGGCAAGGCTAGGTAGGGTCAAGAATGATGGTGTGCTGTTCTTCCCACCCTGACCGGAACACGGAAGAACAGCAACATGGGTCATATTGGAGGAGGAGAACATTAGATAGAACTCCTGCATAGCCTCACCGGCTGGGACAGCGTATAAAGAAATCAATAAATAAATAAATAATAAATAGAAGAAGAAGAAGAACAACCTAGGACGGACAAAGTACTGGGATGGCATCATTCCTGGGAAACATCTCATCCTAGGAAGAACAAAATCCTAGGGTATTATTGTCCCTAGAAAGAATTATATCCTAGGATGGTATAGTTCTTAGGAGCTTCTCATCCTAGGACAAATAGAATCCTAGGATGTTGTAGTTCCTAGGAACTTTTCATCACAGGACAAATAAAATCCTAGGATAATATACTTCCTAGGAGCTTTTCATCCTGGGACAAATAAAATCCTGGGATGGTGTAGCTTAGGCGCTTATAAGCTCTAGGCTAGGCCCTAGAAGCTAGGCCCAGATGTGTCCCAGCCCGCTCTTCCCGGAAAATACTGATCTCGAGGACGACGAACCCGGTTGTGGACCGGGCCTACCGCCTGTCTTAGGGCCAATGTCCCACAACCTCTGGCCTATTACTTATGTCCTGCATTAGGTGGCCCAAGCCGGACGGACACCTGTAATCCTAGGCGGGTTCGCCTATCCTACACTGAATCTTAGGACACTTCGATACGCCACTGAACAGACGATGAACGGCTAGAAAATGATGTAGGTTCTTCGCCAATTAAAAGGTAGATTCAATAAAACTCTTAAGATAAATGATAGTATAGGTCTATATAAACAACCTCGAAGAACGTTCAAATGCCCTGTTCCCTCTTGCACTGTGAACTCTCCTTGGAGCTTATTTCCTCAACCTCGTTAAAACTACTATAGTTTTCTGTGAGGGCAGTGCCCAGCACATGGTACGTTTTAGCGACAACATCCTCGAGTCGAGGGACGTTGCGCACGGCATGAGCAGATGTCAAGCCAGCACACTCGCCCAGGTCCATTAAAGTTCTGGTCAGCCCTAAATGATTTTTGTTCAATCTAAGCTGCCCGCCTACCATGTATATTCTCTGTCTACAGCGCTCCTGAAATTTTCGCCATCGCTCCAGCCAGTTAAGTAGAAGCATGGCTGCCTGCAGATCGAAGTCGCTTGCCTGTTAATTAGTATTAATATCTCTCTAGGGCGGCTTGGTAGAGGCTGCAGTCTTATCACCCTATGGCCTCTGTGGTGTCTGATATTGTAATGTATGTTTTTGATGCAGAAATGTTTCGCAGCTGCTGATGGAACAGATGGGTTTCCCTACGAAAGCCATAGGGGCAGGAATCCCATAGGGGAAGCAAAGCTATAGGGAAACCAAGCCACAGGGGAAGCAAATCCATAAGGGAAGCAAATCCATAGGGGAAGCAAATCCATAGGGGAAGCAAAGCCATAGGGGAAGCAAA